TTACGAGTGAATTTCAACCCCTGAAGTCGACTGAACGACTTGTGTAGGGGAAGGGACGGCTATTATTATTATTTGCCGTGGCGCTCCGGGGCGACTTAAGGATGATTAATGGTGCCATTTGACTTACAGGTGAGGAAAACCCGGAAAACCTCACCCACCATCATCGAGACGATAATGTATGGCACTTGCTTCTTAGATTCATTTTCGTCCTAACATTTACATAGTGGAACAATATGAAAATAAAATCATTAATATTTCGAAACTTTCCTAATGTCAAATAGGACGTTTTAGCTAAGTAGGGCAGTATAGTTTGAAATTGATTTAATTTCGTTAATACCGACGGATTTATTTGTTTTTCTTTTAAGTCCTTTAATTAGAAATAATATTTCTTTTTCGTCGGTATTAAAACTATAGAATTCGGTAAAGCTATGGTCCTAGAAATACTTTTATTTTTGTTTAATATCTTTTGCAGGGTTATTAGCCATATTTATTTATTTTGTGTTAAATTCATTAACCATGTCAACATTTTTCATGAGGAATTTTTTATAGGACCAATAGTTTTTGTTTTAATGTTTGCGCCTGTAACTTCTTGTACAATCTTCCATAACCGTTTAGAATTTTGATTGTCTAAATGTATTCGTTGTTTGTAATAATTTTGTTTAGTTTTATTTATTAAATTAGTTAGTTTATTTTTACAATTTACATTCTTTTTTTCATTAATTATTTTTAATAACGAGTTTGTATTTTTTCTCAAAACTTTTTTTGTAGGTAAGTATCTGTACATAATTGGGTGATTTTATTAATAGTATTATTGAAGATTTTAGTTGCATCATTTGGATCTATTTCATAGTGTATTGCCTCCCATGAAGTCTTCTCTAATATATTATTAATTTTGGTATGGTTTAAATAATTAACAATTTTATTGTAAGAATAATTATTTTTTAATTTAATTTATTAGATATCACAGTTCGAAATTCCTTTTATTGCCCATAATACTTTTTCTTTGGAATGAAAGCATTAGTTCCTGTTTTTCAGTTAAGCTCCATAAATCAAATTATATATTAATCTGAACGGTACTTAAGCGCAGTAAAGTTGCAACAACTAAACAATATAATGAACTTTTAAAATGAAATTCAATTTATATTTAGAATTAAATAAGTTAACTAAAATTTTTGACCGTATGAAGTTATTTAAGTTATAAATAATTACGTTACAAAGATTCATATGTGAATTTTCAATTTCTATTGATGTGATAGTTACTCATCTGCGTTTTACAATATCGATACATGGCTTGTGAACTTAAAAACGTGATCCATTACAATTTAAAAAAGCGTATAATAATAATATATTAGACCCTCTGACAATGTTAATCAATAACGTCTTTCTCACTGGTATTCTTCCGGATATGTTTAAATTTGCAAAAGTTATTCCTCTACACAAAAAAGGTGAAGAATCAGCCATTGATAACTACCGTCCGATTTCAATTTTAAATACATTTTCAACCCATTAAAATTAGACTCATTTGAATCAAATAATTTTTTTTCTATCCATCAATTTGTTTTTCGTTCAAAGCGGTCAACGTCTGATGCTGCAATGTGTGCTGTTGATTACATGGTTGATGGCATTGAAAACGGAAAGTTTGTAGGAGTTACACTGTGCGACTTGTCAAAGGCGTTTGACTGTGTGTCACACGATATCCTTCTTGAAAAGCTTATAACTATGGAGTAAGAGGAACTGCGTTTCAAACAATAAGGTGTATAAATACGTAAAATTTATTTATCCCTCGTAACACATCAGTAAAATATATTATAAATTGTTTTCATTTACAAATATTAATTTCTTAAAAATATAAGAACGTTTCAAAGTGTATTTTATAATAATAGCCGGTCAAATGTAAACCCTATAAATACAGGAGTTCCGCAAGGATCATTTCTGGGACCGTTATTCTTCATCATATACATAAATGATTTATGCAATTTCATTTTAATTCTATCATAGACTTTTGTTTTTTGTTTTAAACTCCATCCGGACTTCAAATTTGGTTTTCAATAAAAAGTCCACATTTAAAGATAAATAAATTTCCAAATCTTATTTTGCTCTGGATTTATAGACTGTGCCATATTGGATGGCTTTAGCAAAAAATAGAAGATTTTATGAGATTTTTTAAAGAAGACATTTCGTTTTTTACAAATGTCTCCAAATTTTGAAGTAGTGACACGTTTTCGTCTTTCATTGTGCCACAATACACAATCAACTTGATCTCGTTTCACATTTATTTTTTTTCTTATCTACAGACATTGGCAAACTTTTTAGAAAATTTTCTTTTGCTTTGTTTTTAAATTTCTTGTTTGTACTTAACTCTACATTATACTATTAATTTTTTATAGGGTTTGTAAAATATCCAATAAATAAATATATGTTATTTATACTCGAAGAAGAAAATTCTTCTATTAAAAGTTGCTTGTGATATTTTTCTCTATAAATTTTATCCTATACATAATTTTTCAAAAATGGCCCATATTCGAGAAATTTTACAAAAAGTACAAAATTCAAATTTTTAAGAAAATTTTTTAAATAAAAGTTGTGATTATCTATAATTTTCGTTCACATACATAATTTTCCTAAAATAGACCGTATTCGATATATTTGAGGAAAATTGCAAATTTTTAATTTGGAAATTACTCAAAAACGGACAAAGAGAAAAAACACAAAATCTTAAACTTAGGCCTTAATAAATCCTGCAGTGAGCTGATTTAATACTATTTCTGTTATTTACGATTGGCGAAAAAAATTCTTCAAATAAAAGTTGTTTGCGATATCATTCTCTAAAATGAACCGTAATAGAAAAATTTGACAAAAAGTGTAAAATTTTAATTTTTCTGTATTTTCGTTGGCAATAAATACATGTAAAAAATATTTGGAGTAAGATGTGTGTGGAAAATCTCTGAATATTTACATGGGTGATACAGTAGGTTGTACAAATTAACCGCAAAAAGCTTGTAATAATACAAAAAGTCATGTGTTGGGCACATCAGATTTTTATGTAAAAAAACGGAAACAATTATTTATTGCAAAAATAATACACAGAAACTATAGGGATAAAAACACACCGATTCATCCCTTTAGCTTTAGAATAATAGTTGACAGGTGCAGTGTTACTATGAGTTTATTTAATTTAGGTAGATATGTTTAAATAAAAAGTTTATACAGAGTGATCCACAATAGCAGTTTGTGCAACAAAAGTTGATATGATGGCCATATGTAGTACGTAGAATCCACTCAAGTTATACAGTATGTTTTTAACGACCCACTAACGAAAATTTACAAAATTTTAAAAATTTATTTAGACTTTTATTAATTTATTAAAAAAAAATAAACTGAAAGACAAAAACAAAAAGAAAATTAATTTACGGTATAAGTATTTGTAAATATACTCGAATATTTTCACAAGCATCATTCATTTTTAATTACATTTAATCTCAATAACTAAAAAATATATTGACAATTACTTTGACAGAATTGTGACTTATTTAACATTAAAAAATAAAGTTAATTCAATAAAACAAATTTTGTATGAGCCATACATGTCCTAGGTATATAAAATTTAGTTCTCCTGATATAACATCCAGTTAATGTTTTTTACTGGAAACCAACTAGAAAGCCATACATTGTAAAAATCCTGGGGAATGCCTGCAATTTTTAAAAAATAGTGGCAATCCATACGAAAATGCCTGCAATTTTGAAAAAATAGTGGCAATTCATACGGAAATCAACGCAGTCAGTACGGAAATCACCGCAGTCAATGCATAAATCAGCGCAGTCACGAAAAATCTATTGAAGTCATGTGGAAATTACCGCAGTAACTAGAAATCTGTAGGAAGTCACATGAAAATCACCGCAGTCATCCAGAAATTACCATATAATTGCGGAAATCATGTGAATTCGGCAATACATGTACATTTTTACAAATAGTGATTCGCCCCTCGTTATTATCTTACCTACATCTTTTTTGATTTTTTTTTATAAAAAACGAACCTGAAGCCGTTACAATTTTTGAAATATTTTTTACAAGTATTTTCAATGGGCTAAAAGGCAACTTTTCCACACCCAGGCCAATTAAAAATGTATGGTATCACTCCCCCCTAATAAAAATCATTGTAACTATCTAATTCCTGCAGAAATATCTTTAATTAATTTTGATTTTAATTAATATTATCGTGTAATATTTTGTATCGTACTCACCATTAGAACAAATGCTAGACGTATCAGGATGCCCGGAACTATCCGTATCGCTGTCGTGGATAGGATTGGAATGCAACGACAAATCCCTCGGTCCGGGACTCGGCGACCTTCCCCGTATAATACCAGCCCCATCAGCAGGTCCGCTCAATATGTCCGTTATCATAAAACGAGATCGGGTAGCTGCTGTTTGAGGCATGACCTTCTGATCGTCCTGCACTGTCATGCCAAGCACTTTATCTCCCACACCCAACACTTTGACAGCCAAAAATAAAAATCCTCCAAAAATCGCAACCACACACTCAGTCCCCAAAACTATCAGTTTGATACGACCACCGGTGGGATCACTGTCACTACTAGCGATATCATCAATTCTGTTAACAGGTGTCCTCGGCAGTATAACCGCTACTTTCCGTAGGTGCTGTTGCTGTAAAACTAAACTAAGCGTTTGATCTAGCGGGCTAACGGACGGTAAATCAGCCATGTTGTCTCTCCCACTAGCGCCGTCATCCCCTCCGCGACGCGCTATCCAATAGCGCCGCTACAGGGCCTAATTGGCCCACCAATGAAATGAAGCTGGGACGGTGCGCTGTCTTATTCTATTTATTTTATGGGCAGGACTTCGGAAGGGATTTTATTAGATTGAGTATTTAGAACAGTTTTATGCTTTAAGGTCTTTTCATTGGTTACATAATGAAGCTGGAGGAGAAGATAAATAAGCTGTGTTATTGTTGCCCGTTCTATTCTATTAGTTTTGTGTTATGCTGTTAGTGTTGGCTTTCCTGTTGTAATAAATTTGATGAACGCTACTTATATCGGCTTTTGATTTCGGTAATAAGCCGGTCATGAAATATATGGAGATGAATTTCGGGATTTATTACTGTCTATGTGATATTTCGTTTTAATTTTAATGGTATCTATTTCTGAATTTGTAAAAGTATTGCGATACATTTTCGGAATATTTAGCTTATGATTATTTTGTTTTTTATAGCGGGAATGCTTAGGTGGTAGACTCAATATGAAATTAAATAATTTTCAAATTTATTCATACAATTTAATTTTTTTTAATTTCCAGACATACCTAATGAAAATTCCGGACATTTCTTTAAAATTCCGGACATTTCTTTAAAAGTCCGGACATTTCTTTAAAAGTCCGGACATTTCTTTAAAACTCCGGACATTTATTTAAAACTCTTGACAAAATATTAAAACTATGTGTCAAAAAGTAACTAACAAATGTTAACTGTCAAATCAACTGTATAGGGGATTTTAAGTATACCTAAATACGTTTGATGATTTTTCAGAAAATTCCGGACAATTTATAATTTCCGGCGCATTCCGGACAATACGACAAACTTCCGGATATGTCCGGACTGTTTTTGACGTCTGATAACCCTTCTATTTATCTCTGCAATATTTAAGACCCACCTAAATCCAGTTTGTTTGGGGAATCCTAAATACCTTTCTAAAACACTGACAGTTTTTTACCTATATCTGTACCAACATCTTTATTCTGCTACTGTGAACCCCCAAAATTTTGGTTAGGAGTCGCCCCTGTCTAGATTATTAAAATATTAAAAAAAAATTAATTACAAAAATATAAAAATATAAATATACAATATTAGACCAGATATATCTACCTAATATTAACTAAGAGAAAGAAAAAGTAAGCCACTCTTGTGAAAGCATTGGAAGCAGTGGCGGCTTGTGATAATTTAAAATGGGTGTTAATTTTGTTTCCAATAATTTTATCATTTAAAAATTTGGTTGAAAACTTTTTTTACAAGCACCAATGTCGCCACCTACAAAATAGAACAATTATTCATTATAAAATAATACTACGGTTAAGAAATTATCCCCTTGTTCAAATAAAACATAAAATTGTCACCCTAATTTGTGACGTCACGCCTTAATTATGTGTGATTCACAAAATAACGTGTTTTAAGTAATTTTAAGCAGCCATATTGTTTGTTTCACGGATCAGTTTTCGTGTTGACCTCTCTTTTTAGCTACAGGCTTTCGCGAAAATCTCACTCACTCGCGCTCACTCAGAATAGTGAACCACAGAGACGCGATTAGCCAGAGCGTAGTACCGTACCAAAAAATAGAGATTAACTTGTATGGAAACAATTTTTCTGTGATATAGTATCATATACCTCCAACATGCCTCTATAAATAGTACGACATAGTTCAGTTTACCTCCCAGGTATTGATATCGATAAATATTTAATTGTCTTCATGATACAGGTACATACCTAACATAGACATAACTATTTAGTTTCTTGAATTAATTTAGCCAAGTGCAATATTTATTTTTTATATCGCCTTTAAAAAAAAAACTGTAATGTAAGTTTAGCTTCCATTTTTTTGTAAATGCATGCGATAACATCATTCGAATAAGGATAATTTCCTGACCGTAGTAGAATTTTATATAAATAAAAATTTCCTAGGTTTAATCGGTCATACTTTTTATTTTCAAACGTTTAGCACTACATATGTTTCGGAAATTAATTTTTTTTCATCTTCGGGTGCAGTCAAAAGTTAAATATAAAAAAAAACACAAAGGGACAATTACAACAGTTTAAAAATTTTTTAAATAGCAAAATCCCATCTTGATTTGATAAAATCAATATTATTTCGATTTTACCTTCACACGATGCTTTGCTCAATTGGCATAATAAGGGACCTGGGCAGTATTTATGTTAATTGGTATCATTTTAAATTAATATTAACAGAATTGGTTTCCTTTAGTTTAATACGCCATCTTTTGGTCCAGTTATTTATTTGATTAACTGATGTGTGTAGTTTATTTGCAACCTCTTTATGATTTTTGCCCATTGCTGTGATGGCAGTATCGTCTTTAAATGTAATTATTGTGTCTTAATCTAGTTGGGGTATGTCACAAGTATATAACAGATGCAAAGTGGGTCACAAGTAGAAGGTAAGACACTTGACTCCACTTTCATTGATTTTTCCCCATATCTGGGGAAATTTGAGGATGTGGCAACGTCGCATTACATGGAGTAGATGGTAAGTATTTTTACATTTTCCCCAGACATCGAGCGATTTTGTAGCCAGAAAAAACGGTAACATCGCGTTGTGCCACGACGCATCGATGTCAGCTGGACATTTCAACGGGCGGGGAAGGGGAACAGGTGAGTCGACAAGCTTCGCCAAGTCCGTAGAGATAAGAATTCATGAAAACCCCGATTTGATGATACTTTTAGAAAAGAAGAATATCGAACCTACACTCCATACGTTAAATCGTTCAATAACAGCGATGTTATTGAATGTATCATAAATCAATCCGATGCATTTTTTGCGATACATGATGCTCTGTTGGAAATTAAAGGAAAATTGGAAGTTACAGGTGCAGGACAAATTCAGCTAGCAACCAACTTAGGAGCGTTCCTCTTCGATAGCTGTTCCTACAGCGAATGCTCTCGAGAAATAGAATTCGTCGGAGATCCTGGAATCGTAAGCACCGTACGAGCCTTAACATGCTATGGACCAGACGACAGTCGTTTCATGAGTATTGCGGGATAGAATTATCCCGATAAACCGCTTCTTAATGGATCAAAACATTTCAATTTGCTTATGCCTCTTAAACACATTTTCAACGTTTTCAATGATTATACTATGATTACCTCTGGTAGACAAACATTTCGTTTAGTTCGATCACGTAACGATAATGATTGTGTCATTGTGACGGAGCAGCCTATAGCCGGAGGTAGTGTGACCTCTACAACCGTTAAATTGATAATTGAAAATATGGAAGTAAAAATTAAACATATCTTTCCTAATGATGAAATTAAAATTAGGCTAATGGAACCCATAAAAAATTATCAACCTATATTGATTCCGTTCAGAAACTGGGAAATAATGAATTATTATCAATAACAAGAGATTCTTAACGAGAAATTTGTGCCGTAGAGCGTCCACGATATATAATAGTTTTCTTCCAAACTGACAAGCGGAATAAACTAACTAGCGACCCCACTAAATTTGATAATGTTAACTTAACCTAACCTAAACTATAGAACCGATACACCGAAAACTGCTCTTCTACACTATGAAGCGTTCAAATGCTACGCATTATTTGTGATTGATTGTTCAAAGCAGCAAGAAACCATGAAATCTTCTATGGTTGACGTAAAATTAGAAATAGACGCAGATACAGGATTCCTCGCTAATACCAAAGCATATTGCATCATAATTCATGATCGTTTGATGGAATATCGTCCTCTTACGGAAGTTTCTGTCACCTTAAGGATCGCATTCGTTGACATCCAAGGCTTCTGCATCAACGGTATTTTTCATCCGAAGGAGTTGAGTATCGCAATTGGTTATAAAGATTACCACGTTTTGTTCACACCGCCTATACCTTATTCTAACCTAAATGCGTTTGATAGAATTAGCGCTAGATATGTTGAGAAACATATTCATGGAGTCAACTATTCCTCTGGAGACGTGGATTATTCCAAGTTAAACTCGATTTTGGAAACATATTTACTAAACCATGCTGATTGTATCTACGTACGAGGAAGTGAAAAAGCCGATTTTTTACTAAAATATTTCCTATAATAGGAACACTGTGTGCAACAGACGAACATAGCCCATCTACTGTCACAGGACGCTTCCCTGTGGTACTCTTGCGTTGATTTCTTTTATTTCAAAGTATGCTTCATCTAGTTTCACTCATCTATAGAATCTATCTGAAGTGTAAGAATCCAGTAGCTTAAGGCAGCTACATGTTAGTTCACGTTGAATGCCTTTCATCCCATTTAAATCAATTTAATACTAACGTAGATATAAGTGTATACCTTTCTGTCTTTGCTTTTTCCTTTACCTAGTATATTTTTCGTTTACCTTGTATGTACCCTTGTTTATATCAACGGTAGCCGTAATTTTGGATTGCTTAATCAAGTTACAAACCACTTATCCATGGTTCAATTTTCAATACGGACAGGTGGCACCATCTCGTGGTGACTTTGGTCTCATAGCGGACTATTATGTCTATATTTCTTTCCTTTTTTTTTATTTGTAATTAGGTTTGCATAGATATAATTATTATTGTACCTTTATTTGCTTCTCTTTCATTGTTCACAGGAAAGTGATATTCTTTGGTTGATGAAATAGTCTACTTTCTATAAGGAAGTTGTCATCTACTAATCGTCAACTAAGTTTAAAAATAATCAACCAGCTAACTTCAGAATGATGCCCATATAGCATGTGTTAAAATATGTTATTTCCTTACAGTTATTTCTGTACTGTAAGAAAATATTGTAATTAATATTTCTTATCTGTAAGAGAATATTGTAAGAAATTTTATTTAAAAAAAATTGGGTCCAAAATGTAAAAATTACTTTTATAATCAGTTATAAAAACAGGCAGTAGATATAAACATTAAGCAGACAGCATAAACGAACGAAATAGATGAATTTCGTGTTGTATCACAGCATAGACTAATTAAAATTAAAAGCTTTGTTTAAGTTTTATGGTTCTTGAACACGAATATTTTCGTTATCTGAGCAGGATATCCTAAATGGTCATTTTCCCAGTGGTTGCCGTTCGCCCGTCGAATGCGAGAGAGAAAGTAAAGTGGTGGTCTGGCTGTGTCGATGCCTTATCTCCTGGTCTTATCTCCTTATTCTCCCCTATTTACTGGTCAAATTATTATGTTGGCGGCACTGCATTGTTCGCTGCTCCGCGATTGTGTTTGTTGTGAGGTGTTGCTGGCCGAAAAGGTGCGAATAAATCCATTGGCGTAGATTTTCTAAATGCACTTGTTTCGTCAAGAGAGTTTTTTTATATTACAATTTTATTGGGTATATAATTAAAAGTAAATACATTTTATAAAGGTAGGATTGGTATAGGTAGATATAATATAGCGATGGTATATTTAAAATATCTATAAGTATTTTAATAAATGTTGTTTTATACAAAAACATTAAAAATATTCCAATTGATATAAAATATCATATTTTTCCTTTTTTAGATTTTTTAAATGGATTAGCATACCCCTTAAACCGTTAAATTATTTATTCCTAAATATTTTGGCGCTCTTCAGTTCGGTTGACAAAATCATTGACAATCGTTTCTATCGTTCTATATTCTATCTAACGTCACTTATTAATGTTTTCATGTCATATGTCTACCCCAGGGCGCCTTGCTGGTGATTTTCGACTAGCCAATCTTAATCAATATAATTTTGATATTATAATAGTAATGGTTTAATTATACTTTATTATTAACTAAAATTAACTGTTTTGAAATGTGTTCTTAACATCTGAATATCCAAAGGTTTATATTATTTAAGACTTCGTGAGTTTTGTATTTTATTCTTTATGACTTGATTGTTAATATATGGTTTTGTAACTGATGGCTTTGTAGAGCCGAAAAAAATAAAAAAAAATAATGCTTTTCACTCTTCACCTTTTGTTAGATTTCTTTCTAACCAAACCAGTTTTTGTCAATTATCCTAATTCTGGAAAAAGAAGGAAATTTTATTTTTAATTTTCGTGGTTATTGATATAATTGAATTTCCCAATTTACAACTAAGTACATCATGTAAAAGTTTTATAGTTTCCGAGCAGGGGGTTCCCCAAATGCAAGTATTCTATCTTAATAAGCTCAATATATTCCTACATACCTACTTACCTACTTAAACAAATTATTCTTGCTACGAATACGCTAAAAAATGCGAAAAACGTTTACATAAAATTAAACTTTATTATTATTATTCTAAATTTCGTTTTATTCTAAAAGCCTCCATTAAATCGTTAATGTCGAAAGTAGATAAGCGTTTATCGGCGAAAAAGTATATAAAATAATGTTTATCTGCTTTAAAGTAAACATTAGTATTCAAAGCAATAAATAACGCTAGCTCAATTTTCGTAAACCTTCTCCGCATGGGCGAACCCACTAACAGCGCGTTTGATAAATTGTGTACCATAAATAAAATTAAAGAAAGAATAATTTTGGAATTTTACGGTGTCCCGAGCATAGATAAGATGTTGGTGTGACGTATGCGGAACATTTAATTTTCATAATTTGGGAAAACAAGATTGTTTGAGAATTTTCTAAAATGTTAGATGGGTTTGATTTTTTTTTTATTACATAATTGCAAATTTACAATCTACTCAAGAATATATAGGTTAGGTTGAAAATGAGTGGGATGATCTCATCGCCTTCCACTGCGACCCAGATGGGTCTATTGTAGCTCATAACTAACTCATAGTTCACCGTACAAGTCACACCTTTTGATAAAGGTTGAATTGGGTGAGACTTCTTTAAAGTCGGTAGGCTCCAGTCGGGTAAATCCGAAGATCTGGAACCTGGTTCTTTCCAGAGCGGAGCAGGTACATAAAATGTGCCCTGCATACTCGTCCTCCACGCTGCAGAATCGACAGTCCGATGTTTGTTGCATGTGGTTGCCCAGACGGCAGTGTCCTGTCATCAGTCCAGTGAAAATGCGTAAATCTTTCTCGGATCTGAGCAGAGGCGTTCATAGAAGGGTTGGTTATAAACGCCTTCGAATGGGTTAGCCCTGGGGTATCTCTCGTATCGTGAGTGTTGCACCCTCCGTCCATTTTGAGATAATTACTTTGGCAGTGCTTTTTGCAATGTCCAGAAATGGTTCTGGTCCTATGAACACAGATACGGTGCCTCTTTTAGCAAATGCGTCGGCTTTTTCGTTGCCTTCCACACCACTGTGTCCCGGAACTCGGATCAAAGTAACTTTGTTCCGGGCAGCGAGGCATTCTAGGGTATTTATACAGTTCCAAACTAGCTTTGAGCTCTGGGTCTTAAGGGCTGCCTGGCTATCTGAAAAGATCTTTATAGTCTTGTTTGCGAAGAGAAAATTGATCAACTCTCTCTCCTCTAATTCTATAGCAATTATTTCTGCTTGGAAGATCGTGGCCAGAGAGCCTAGGTTTATTGATATGTTAACTCTAGGCATCTGACCGAAAACTCCCGCTCCTACTCCTTTTTCAGTTTCAGAGCCGTCCGTGTACAACGCATAGTCTACCTGGGAGAGCGTTTTTCCCTCTGCTCCATGCGTGTTTCTCTGGAATGAGGATGCTCTATGGCTTTTCTATGTGCTGTCGGGGAACTAGCGAGTCCGAGACCATGCCGAGGATGAGGTGGTTATTAATTTCACTCATCAGCCCCGTCTTGTCCCATCGCAGTTCTTCGTAACATTGACTACCCACCTTCAGGAGTCTGTAAGAGACCATTCTGGCCCCAGCAGAATGTGAAGAGGGGCTAGATCCAGCATGATCTCCATGGCTCCCGTAGGTGTTGTTGACATTGCTCTAGTTATTGAGAGTCACGTAAGCCGCTGTATTCCAGCCAGTTTTGCTCTGGCCATCCGTTGAAGTCCCTTGTCCCACCAGACGACAGAGCCATACGTAACCATGGGTTTTACCACTGTTTGGTAAATCCAGTAGATCAGTTGAGGACTGATCCCCCATGCTTTGTCGCATATCCTTCTAAAAATAGTGTGTTTCGTAGCCATTTTCGAAGCTCATCGCTTTGATGAC